TCCAGCTAACCAAAATCATACCAGAAAATGGACGATACCAGACAAGAGAGATTCCACCTGCACAACTAAACTTGTTTGTCCCACTAGATGGCATACTCTGGTTTAAGCACTTCAACCGGTCTGTGCAAACAAAAAATCTTGTATTGAATTTGAACTAAATTTGCATACCCTAGAATAGAGCTGCAAGTGGTCACTATAGAAACATATGCCTTAAGATGAAGCTATGCTAGGGAAAAAAAATTTTGTACTATCGAATATTTCAACACTATAAAGTTTCAAGATTCAGAAGGAAATATTCGATAGTACAAAATTTTAACACTATAAAGTTTCAAGATTCAGAAGTGTCCTTTAAAAGAGTTCATTTATTTTGGCATCTTAAATTAAACCTTAATTGACTTTCTTACTCATTAACGTTACTTGAACAAATGTGAAATAAGGGCATCTATTTTTTAAATATTTTTTTTTAAATCTATATTTTACTGTTTACAAAATGCCTCAATCCTGACTGCAGTTATTTCAATTTATGTCCTTTTTAAATCTTGGCCACTTTATTCTACTTTCTTATCTAATCCACAATCAAGAAAGCACTACAATAATGCTGTCCCAAAGGTGCCAAGATTTACATGCATTGTTCTGATTGACTTATGGAATAACCTGATTTCTGTCAATACAGAATGCCAAAATCCTCCAGACATCCAAGACATGCAGCCTACATTCCTCCTACTTATTGATCTTCCCAAAGCTAGATAATGTAAGTGTCCTGACTCAAGTGAAATGGAGAGACTACACTGGGAAGAAAAGCTGGGTGCAATCTGAGCAAGACCTTATCCTTGTAGAGGACAGTGTATGGTGCTTTGGAGGTGAGCGCCTTAATCTCAGACACTCAGGAGTCCCATGTCAGTGGAACTAAGAATATGACTCTCCAAGAAAGGAGAAGGAGAAAGCACAAAGCCATAAGCATGAAGAGAGTAACCATGACTGTGACAACACCAGATTCAAGTCCCTTGGTGGGACAGGTCCCTGACTTGCAAGTGGAGATGCTCTAATCCCTTAAGGAATCTGGCCATCATACCCTGAGTGAAAACTGACCTGCCATCAAAAGGCAAGTGGAATGCCAAGATGGCTGCTAAACGGACATTGATGTAAAAGACAAGTCCTGGAGCTTAAAATGCAGGAGGCAGTCAAAAATAAGCTGCAGAAAAGTCCATTTGGGGTGGACAGCTTTGTCCACAATACATCAGGTGAACCACTTCCATTTGGCCAGGTAAATCACTCTGATGGAGGGCTTCCTATTACACAGCAGGAACCTCAGCCAAACACTACTATCCGATGCAATGCTGCCGTGTTGGAGTGCAAAAGACTGCCATATGTCTGGGGCAACAAGTTCAACCTGAAAGGTAGCTGAAATAGAGAAACCAAGGTATGTTCCCCAAGTTATGGTCCCCAAGGCATTGGATACCAGAGTCACTAAACTAGGTTGGGGCCATGAAGGGAATTTCTTCTAACATCAATGTAGGATCTTAGAACATAAGGTCAGACCAAAGATCCATCTAGCCCAGTAGCCTGTCTGCCGACAGTGGCCAGCACCAGGTGCCCCAGAGAGGGTGGACCGAAGACAATGATCAAGCGATTTGTCTCCTGCCATCCTTCTCCAGCCTCTGACAGAGGCCATTTCTATCCCCTGGCTAATAGCCTTTTATGGACCTAACCTCCAGGAAATTATCTAGCTTCTTTTTAAACTCTGTTATAGTCCTAGCCCTCACAGCCTCCTCTGGCAAGGAGTTCCACAGGGTGACTATATGCTGTGTGAAGAAGAACTTTCTTTTATTAGTTTTAAACCTGCTACCCATTAATTTCATTTGGTGTCCTCTAGTTATTCTATTATGGGAACTAATAAATATATTTTCTTTATCCGCCATCCCCACACCACTCATGATTTTATATACCTCTATCATATCTTTATATACCTCTATCATAGCTTTGTTAATGTAGACACATTCCCTGGATTTAGAGCCCCCGGACGCATTCGAATGACTCTAGGGTTTAGTTCTTTTGAAATAGCGGCACCAGAGCATCCACGATTTCAAAATTAGCCTTTTTCCCCGAAAGGAGCAGGAGCACAGATTTCGAAATAATGGGCGTGGTAGTGTGGACGCTCCCCTTATTAATTCGGCCTAAGGGGGGTGATTTTGAAGGAGGAATATGGCTTTCAGATCGGCACTGTTCAGGAGGGATAATTGAATGGACAGAAGAACAATCTACATCTGGTGCCTTGGGTTTAGTTTCCACCTCAGCCACAGACTCCCTGTGCAAGCATAGGCAATCACTTAATCGACCTCGTGCCTCAGTTTCTCTACTGTACAATCAAGGACAGAATTTCCCTATCTCCCAAGCACTTTGAATGTTTGATTCTGAAGCACTCAGCTGCTTTGGTGAGGAGGATCATGTATGTGCCTACGTACAATGGAGAGCCATTGATGAATCATGCAGGTCCCCACAGGGCCGTGAGGCCATGGCATAGGTGGGATGGGGACATAATGGGCAAACCCCAACTCAAGGGAAACTTTAACTAACTAACTTTAACAAAGAATAGTACTCAGACTAAACAAACAAAAAGGAAGGGCAACTTGGAGAACAAAGGTAGACCACTAAGTGCTAACTAGGTGTGAATACTGCTGAAATCACACTTGCAAGCAAGCGAGATAAGAGCACCAACAAGATTCATGGGCAGTAAGAAGGTAATGAGGGGGTGGAGGGCCAACAGGGGAGCCCCTTAAGAGTGTCACTGCTATAGTGGTGCCACTCTAAGGGGCTCCCCTGCTGGCCAGACAGGTACCCCTGAGGGAAAACTCTCCAACAGTCCAGACATGTGGCATGTGAACACATAAATGGAATGGACATGAGCAAGCACTCGAAGAAGAATTAGTAATCCTTCTGTTTGAACATTTTTACTGGAGAATTAAGACAGCATTTCCTATGTTAAAAAAAATCCTGCAAATTCAGTTTCATCATAGAAAACTTTCCCAAAAGTCATAACATTAACAACAGACCATTCTGGAACTTAGCCTAATTTCTCAACAGAATAGGAGTGTGTGCTTTAGACAGCATAACCCTTACAGAATAATCCATTTAGGTTTTCAACAGTGCACATCAGTGGTTAGAATCCAAGAATTAGCTTGAGGAATTGATGGTAGGACAGAATTGTTCACCTCTCTGATTCTTATCAACATTTAATGAACTGTTTTTGACAAACTCTAAACCAGACTGTCAATGTTGAAGTGCTAAAGCCAGCATCTGAATTGACATGGACAATAAACTACAGGTTGTTCTCGCTATAAGTCCAAGATATGTTCTAAAAAACTGACATAGCAAAAATACTTAAAGCAGGGAAGTTTTTCCCTATGGCTGATTTCCATTTGCACAAACTGGTATGGTTTTTTTTTTTTTTTTGCGCGCATGACTTAGAGCAGGGAATGGGAGGACTAAAGTCAACTACTTTAGTGAAGAATGGATGTACACCGGGGCCACTTACTACGGGGACGCCCTGCATTCCCTATGTGTTCTCTCATCTTATTCTTTGATTATAAACTTTGAGCAGGGAGCTTCTTTCAGCTAGATGTTTTTGCAGTGTCTATCACAATAACCAAATAATACTTATCACAGAGGTCGTCACTCACTCAAACATGTTTCATTACACTGGCAGAACTATATGGAGAAGCCATACTAATACTGCTCTTTTTTGGGTAAAGAAAGGATGCCAGGGCTGTAAACAAAAGTACTAAATTCACCACCTCAGACAGAGACAGACAGACAGACAGAAAGATGTCATTGTGTAACTATGGTGGAATGTTCAGGATAGATGAACACATAAAGAGATGCATATGGTAATGTTATTTACAGAATATAGCACAAAACTTTTTTAATTTACAGGTTCTATAAAATAAACAAACAGTCTTAAAGCAGTTAAAACCACTTGAAATAAATGAAGAAATGTTCTATTTAGAAACTGCTCTGCTAATGCAGTGCACATAAGTTGCTACAAAATATCTTTCTTCCTCTGTTTACCACTATCGTCATCTGCATGGAAACAAGACAGTAGAGCCTTACCTCCCTATTCGTGTAATAAGTGTCACGATGAAAAAAAAAAAAAAGAAAGAACAGGACTATGTAGCACTTTAAAGACTAACAAGATGGTTTATTAGGTGATGAGCTTTCGTGGGCCAGACCCACTTCCTCAGATCAAGATC